ATGGTTCTTACCAGCAACACATTATCATCCACTATGATAACCTTCTTAACAAAGCCAAGTGCCTCTGACATATCTCTATTCCCAACAGAAGCAAACAGTTCATTATAAAAATTGCAGAAAGCCTCATTAATTTCCACCTCCTTCTCTAACCAAATATCATTCACCCCTTTCAATCTCACCACCTTATTTCTAGCTCTTCTTTGAATGGTACTTGAGTGAAAAAAACTTCGTATTTCTATCCCCATACATAAGCCAATTCACCCTAGAGCGTTGCCACCAGTACTTCTCCTCCCTTTCCCAAGCTTCTTCAATTTCTTTCAAGATTTTATCAGCTGCTACTCTTTTTTCAACTGTTGCAGGGCCTTCATTACACTTTTCTAATTGTGCAGTAAGCCTTTCAACTAATCTTCTTGCATTTGGAAAATTTTTCCTAGCCCAATCACTTCAGATTTTTCTGTAGTTTTTGAGCCTTGCTATCAATTCTTCAATTTTGGTGCCTTCCTCAAAATCATCCAAGTACCAACCTTTCTTTACCATTTGAAGAAATTCTTCATGCTCAATCCAAGTTGCTTCAAAATGAAAGTCCCTCACAGATTTCCCATATTTGAAGTCAAAATCAATCAGCACCAAGTGATGGTCAGATCCTGTAGGCATAATGTGACTTACTGGAACATTCTAAAAGCTGCCACGGAAATCAACATTAGATACTGCTCTATCTAACCTGTCTTTCACATTTTCTTCCCCCAATCTCCTATTGCTCCAAGTGAACTTTGGACCTTGAAAGCCAAGATCCATAAGATGACAGTCACTTAGAGCATTTTGGAAGTTAAGTACCCTTCTAATGTCAACAGGCAGCTTACCAATCTTCTCATCGCTGGCCAGAACATCATTGAAGTAACCACAACATAATCAAGCATAATTAGTCCCAGCTGCAATATGTCTAAGCTTGTTCCACACACTCATTTTTTTTTCTTCTGAAGGTGCCCCATAGATAAAAGTAACATATTTGGGCATCTTGTCACTAGCAGAAAATATAGTAGTATGGATTATATTCTCTGAATAAAACCAAATATTCACTGTCACCTCTTTGGTCCACCAGAGAGCTAAAACCCCACAGCTATTGTTAGGAGGAACATAGAATTCTTCTTCCATAACACATCCACTTCTCAACTTTTTCAATCTCCTATTATTGATTCTTGTTTCCATTAGGTAGATAATCAAGGGTTCGTTCTTGAAATATTCCTCCCTCAACTTTCTTACTATCAAGGCTCCACCTAAACCTTGACAGTTCCACAATAATAGCTTCATTGCTCCTTGGTGGCTGTTTGAGGCCAACCACCAAGACCTTCAGCATTATCAATAGCAGAACAAATCCTTTCTGCAACAAAGTTCAACAAATCACCTCCAAAATTCTTCTTACTACACTCCCCTTTCTCCTTTAACTCAACACACCTTCTACTTCCTCCCTTCCTCAGGTCCCTCGAAATACTACCAAAGGGTTTTCTTCCAGGTCGCTTTCTCACTACATTCTCTACAAGTACAGGTCCATTTTAACCGGAGAATCATCAACAGACAGCTTCCTTCTTTTATCAATTCTCTCAGACTCCACTACCTCCAATCCTCTTTTCAAGCCAATGCTACTCAAATTTTTTGTAACTTCTTCAATTGGAGAAATATTTCCATAGACTACTAAAGCTCTCGACAAGTCCTCTTTAGCTTCAGTTATATTTTCCACTTTATTTGTGACATCAGAAAGAATCACAGATTCATTAATCTCCTTCCCCTTTCTACTCCCCTTATTTCCTCCTGCTTCCTTATTATTTTCAATGCTATGTTCAGAAGAAACACACTTACTTCTATCTTTAATCACTATCTTCTTCTTCTCTGCATCTTCCTTTCTGTTGGTAATAGCAAGAACTTGTGCATTCTTCTTGCTCTGCACTTTTATTTCTTCCTTCTTGCTTACCTCCTTATCCAGTATCTGATTCACTATACTTTTTTCCTTTTTTAACTTCCAATAATCCTCATCATATTCTTCCCAATCTTCACTACAGCAAACCACTTCATTTTTAATGAAACGAGCAGCCTGTACGCTTAGCCAACTCCCATATCCCACTTCCTCCTCTTCATTTTTGTTATTACGTTTCTCACAAATTCATTGGTCATGTCCCAATCTTCCACAGCAAAAGCAAAAGTTCTGTAGTCTTTCATATTTTGCCTTTATCCAGATCAGTTCTTTTCCATCAGGTCTAGGCATCCACATTCCTGTTATCAAAAGTCTCCTCAAATACACCAAAACTCTGACTCTCAAAAAGCTACGGGTCAAGAGTTCATCTCTTAGCCGATTCTCAACCATAACAACCTTTCCAATCATAGATCCAAGGGTGATCGCATTATCCAGATCCATAGCCTCCAAAGAAAGATCGTGAAACTGAATCCAGAAAGGACAGACGCTAAAATCCACCTCTCTGTACACCATATACTCCTTCCATGATTGAATATTTAGCAATACACCTTGCATTGACCACGGTCTTCCCCTCAAAATTCTGCTATAATCCTCTTTTTTTCAAAATTCAAAAACAAAGATGTTTCGATCCACATCAATTATCTTCATATGCTCTGTCTTATCTAGATTCCATCCCTTACGAATCATCTGGATCAAGGTAATTTTATTCAAATTCTTCTCTGTCATCAAACGACCGATCAGAGCTCCTCTATGTTTCTTTCTCTGATCACTTTTCCTCCATACAAGATTAGCCTCTAATCGCTGATGGTTACTGCCTTTGCCTCCATTCTCTACACTCGTCATTTCCTTCGAATCGCCAAAATCCGCACGTACACTCTTTCAACCCTGCCACAGTAGGCGATGGAGCTCTTTCAACTACCACTCCAAGTACCTCCAAGTACCTCCAAACTTCTATCCTCACTATTCCTCTGTTACAATGAGTAACAAAGGAATCACTCTTTCTTCCCTTCGTCGTAGTGGGCAACGAAGCTCTCTCAGATTACCTCTCTCACCATCACACCATACGACGGAAACAGGATTCACAGAAGAAATCGGTGATAACTGCCGTAACAAACTCTCACGTGGAGAGAGAAAAGCTCCCACTCAAGAGAGAGAAGTTCCCTGGTAGTCAAGGAAGATATGAACAATAATTAAATAGACCGTAAGGAATATAGACATAGATTTATCAATTCAATCTTCCTGTGATCGATTTTCTTCCTTGCCAATTCTTTTAGATCTCTATTTACTATCTCTGAAATTTTCAGGAACTTTTGAATCTGGGAATGACATTTCTGTTCTATCTAAAAGTTTTGGTTTGGTATAGCAACCTATTAACACCAGAGACTAATTACCCATGTGCTGTCATGTGCTAGATCAAATCATCATGCGCTTATCTCTCATCTTTTTGTTTATTTTTTTTTATTTTATTCATAAATAAAAATGATTATTTATGCATTATATTTGAGGATACTCGATCTGCGAGCATTTTGAGATTTTAAATTTTCGTCGTACTTTTTTTTCTTTTGAATATGCCCATTACCTATCTCAAGATTTAATTTGCTTTGAAACTCAAATAGACGGGAAAATACATCTTACAAATATTGGTTCACTTTCTTTCTGTTTTTGTACTTTTACTTTTGTGTTCAGATTCCAAATCCTTTGCAATGGAGCATGATGCTGATGGAGTTGGGGGCTCTTCAAGTTTTTCTGCTTCAACTAAGAGATGGAAGTATCATGTGTTCTTGAGCTTTCGAGGGGAAGATACTCGAATAAGTTTTATTGATCATTTGTATGCTGCTTTAAAACGCAAAAGGATTAAAAACTTTCAGGGATGAAGAAGAACTTGAAAGGGGAGAATCTATTAATCCAAGTTTAATACATATTTATTTACTAATTCATCCTTTGTCATAGTAAATCCTTGACTTTGGCTAAAATTATTTTGAACAATTAGTGTTTTCTTATGGTTTTCCTTAATTATTTTCCTTACAAATAATTATTTGTTTAATATGTTTATCATATCGGGATAAAATATCAAGTAATTTAATTGGCATGGATATAGAAAAATCAATTGAAATTTTGAGTAATTCTTAAAGGATTGTTATTATCAAAGATTCAAAAATAAATATCAATAATTCATAATTTCTAAATTTAAAAAAAAATATCATTTTATTAATAATTAATTAATAGTAGTTTTTAACTTTTGATGGTTGAAAACGTTACCGTATAGCATTAGATTTGAAATGCTAATCCGACAATGTATTTTGTTAAAAATTGCTTAAATAAAATTAAGAAAAACTATTCAAATAAAAATTTAGAGTAAAATACTTTAACTATCCTCTTAGCTTGCATCAATTATATAGACCTCCTCTCTATTTTAAAAATATACAGTTTATTATAATTAGTTGACACTGTTAGAAATATTCTAAAAGATTTTAAAAGATACTACTCTGGTCCTAAATATAAAAATCATTTTGTAATATAAATTACACTACAAAATGGGTCTTATATTTATAATCGGAGGAGTGTTATTTTTAACTAAAATTTATATTAAAATAAATTTTATTTACTATTTTACTGCTCATTCTAATAAATTATTAAATTATATTTTTATAGTTACAAGAATTTTTAGTAAAATAGTAAATAAAATTTATTTTAATTTAAATTTTAGTATTATATCTTGTGTGGATACCCTGCCCGCTGATGTTTCTATTATATCTTGTTTTCTTCTGTGAAATACTGAAATGTGTTATTTACTGATTTGTGACGTGGGACTGTGTGGGCATGGATATATTTGAATATGTCCCGTGCCTCTCTCAAGGTTTTGCTTTGAAACTCAAATAGAACGTAAGGGATATTTACAAAAGTTGATTTCACTTTCTTCCGTATTCAGTATCCCCTCATTGATTGCTGCACTGTTTGTAGAAGCTCAAAGAAATCCATCTATATATGTATTATTCTCTCGGTTTCCGCATTGGTCAGATTCCAAATCCTTCCAATGGCGCGTGATGCTGATGCTGTTAGGCATTCTTCAAGCTCTTCTGGTTCAACTAAGAGAAGAATGTATCATGTGTTTTTGAGCTTTCGAAGGGAAGACACTAGGACCAGTTTTACTGATCATTTGTATGCTGCTTTAAAACGCAAAGGATTAAAAGCTTTTAGGGATAAGGAAGAACTTGAAAGAGGAGAATCTATCAAACCAAGTTTACAACAAGCAATTGAGGAATCTCATTGTGCAATTGTTGTGCTTAGTCCAAGTTATGCTTCTTCAACTTGGTGTTTGGATGAGCTTCAAAAGATCCTTCAGTTAAGGGAAGAGTCCAGTCTTCAAGTATTTCCAATATTTTATGGTGTAGATCCGTCTGATGTTAGGAAACAAGAGGGGAGTTTTGCGGAAGCATTGAAGAAGCATGAAGAAAGATTTCTAAAAGACAAAATGAAGGTGCAAAAGTGGAGGGATGCTTTAGAAAAAGTTGCCACTATATCTTTTGGGACTCAAAAAACTGATAACTTCCACTTCTCTTAGTAATAACCATCTCTGTTTTTTTTTTAAATTTCGGTCAAAAAATAAGGGCAAGGATATTCAAAATAAACTCTGAATTACATCAAGGTTTTTTCTTAATTTTTTAAGGGTAAGGGAACTGCTTAAAACTTCCACTAAATAGCACTATAAACTTCATTTATTTAATTTTAGACTTGTAGTTCTATTTGTTGGTAATATAGAGCTGCAGTACTATAGTGTTGATTTTTTTTGGCCAACACTATAGTATTGATTGTTGATGAAGTAGGTTTCCCAATTGAATTCAATCAATGATAGCATTTTGAATTGGTCATTTTCTTTAATATATCTAGCAGGTATGTCGAATTTTAATAAAATTACACAAATATTACGTAATTTAATCATTAAAAAAATTAATATTAATAATTTCTCTATATTTTGAAGTTTCATTTTTTATTAATTATTAATAATAAATGTTAGTTTTTGATAGTTGGAAGGGTTACCATACAGCATTAGATTTGAACCTTTAATTTGACAATGTATATTGTGAAAAGTTTCCTGAATAACATGAAGAAAAACTACTCGATTACTCTAAAAGGTCAAATATGAACCATATAACCAAAAAGGGGTTCTCAATAATGAATACTAGTAATGTGTTAATTAAATGACTTCAATATCTAGGGGTTGGCACAGTGTGTACGCGCGCGCACAATGGTGATAACTATAGTTCATAATCTCATTAGAAAATTTAGGGATTTTGCTTCTTTGTATCAAAGACTAGACTGTATTATAGCTTCTCATTCTTCGTGATTGTCTATGATTACAAAAAAAAAAAAAACTATGTACAGCTCGTCTATAAATGAAATTATCCTCTACTCCTAAAAGTTAAATTAAATTTCACGGTGAATTTAAAATCGCTACAGTTGTGGTCATGTTTTCTTTATATCTCATATTAACTATTTAGTGTTTATGCATACAATTTTAAAATTCAAATGACTCAAATGGTCATGATATTTTCATGTCCAGAAAAAAAAGCCATATTTTCGTATTATGCAGGCATGAAACAGAATTCATTGAAAGCATTGCTAAGGAAGTGATGTCAAAATTACTTGATGAATCACTATCTGACCTTGGTATGTTAATTGGAATTGAACCAAAATTAGATGAATTGGAGTCAATCGTAGCAAGGGAATCGGAAGGGGTTGGATTTATAGGAATATGGGGCACAGGAGGCTTAGGTAAAACAACTCTTGCTAGAGTATTTTATGAGCGGACGTGCAAAAACTTTGAGATTCACTGCTTGATACATAATATTAGGGAGGCATATGAAAAAGATGGTTTGATTTCGTTGCAAAGAAAACTTCTTTTTTCTCTAGATAAAGGATGTATGGAAGTGGGTGATTGTTATGAAGGAATGAAGTTGATAAAAAACATGTTGGGCGACAGAAAAATTCTACTTGTCCTTGATGATGTGAATGATTTAAGCCAACTTGAAAATTTGGCACCAAACCAAGGATGGTTTAGCAAAGGGAGCATAGTAATAATAACAAAAAGGGATAAGCATTTGCTATCATCACATGGAGTAACTGCTATGTATGATGTCAATTTCTTGAGTGATAATGAGTCCCTTGAACTTTTCTTTCAAAAAGCTTTTAAAGGAGAGCAACATAATGAAGATTATTTGAACCTTGCTAGAACAATTATAAATATGCCAAAGGCCTTCCTTTAGCCCTCAAAGTGTTAGGTTCATTTCTTTGCAAGAGAACTATGGGGGAATGGAAGGATGCACTAGCTAAGTTCAAGAAAATTCCTCTAAATGACATTTTGAAGATACTTAAAGTAAGTTTGGATGGATTAGACATTAATGAGAAGACTATATTTTTGGATATTGCTTGCTTTTTTAATGGGATGGTCAAAGATTGTGTCATACAGATTTTAAAAACTTTGGACAAGGATCTTCACCCAGAAATTGGAATAAATATTCTTATTGAGAAATCACTTATAATTAATCGTGAAGAGCATTTGTGGGTCCATGAAATTCTCCAAGATGTGGGTAAATATATTGTCTATCAAGAATCACATGATGATGCCGGCAAGCGTTCCAGGATATTGTCTTTGGAGGATGTCAATCATGTGCTAGAAAGAAATAAGGTGATATTCTTCCAAAGTTCTTGTACTTATGTGCTCTTTTAATATTGATATATTTCATAACTTTTTCTTACATTTTTACCTTGACTTGTTGTTTTATAGGGGACAAAAGCAATCCAGGAATAATTCTTACATTAGAAAAGTCATCTGACGTATTTTGGGATCCTGAAGCTTTCTCAAAGATGAGTAATCTCAAGTTACTTATCATTTCAAGTCGCTCACATGATTTAGATTTTCAATTGAATCTTTCTTATGGACTCAAATCCCTTTCCAATGGGCTAAAAGTCATAGAATGAGGGGTTTCCATTATTTTATTTGCCAAGTCAATCTCAACTCCATGAACTTGTTGAGCTAAAAATGCGACAAAGTAAGTTAAAAGAACTCTGGGGGGAAGACAGGTAATGACAACCCTTTTCATTTAAATTGTTTGTTCATAATTTAATACTATTTCCGGTTCTTAATATAAAAACTCATTGGAGATTCAAAATACTTAATGGTCTTATGCGAGTCTGATCCATCAAAATGAATCTCAAAATACTTCAAGTACCTCTCTGCCTTAAAAATCCAATCCAGTGCATCTGATCCATCAAAATGTTAAAAATCCACCTTAATGGTCTTATGCGAGTTCTGAATAAAGTTCACTAGTTCTACAATCGGTATTCTGGAGGTTGAATCCTTAGATCTTGAAGGTGATGATTCTGGTTGTCGCTTCAAGCTGTCTATCGACTACACTAGGGAATGTAACAGAGATTCCATAGAATCGAATCGTCGATCAATCTGGTCAAAATGCCCCTTAGCTTCTTCTACAAACTCATTTGTCCTCTTTATATCAGCTTGTAGTTCCTTCAAGCGGTTGTTCTCTGCCTTGTTCCCTAAACCTCTCAATGAAAGCACCAAATGTCACGTTAGTGAGTGCGATAAAAATCTATGCGAGCAATTAACAGCTCTGAATGTATATATGTATGTCAATAAGGGTGCGATTACAGAGCTTATTCAACCTCATGAGTTGAGCCACATGATACAGAATAACAGAAAGAAGAGAATGATAGAAAAATGCAGGGAGAGAGAATTACAGAGCATCTGTCAGGACGGAAATAACCAATATCATTCACTCCCCTTCCCTCTAACCACCTGTCCTTATATAACCATTTCCGTGTTCTCTAGTTCTTGAAGCTTCCAAGGCTTCTTCCATGCTCGCTGGCTCCTTCGCAGTATGTTGGGCTGCTCCACAACTCTTGGATTATCCTTATCAAAGCCCTCATTTTCCGCATCTGTTACAACCGTCTTTGTCACTATTGAGCGAATTGCATTTAGATTTTTGCAAACTCCATGATGGATCACTTCCCGATGTCATGAATGAGTTATCATCATTGCAAGTTTTAAATCTAAGTGGAAACAATTTTATAGACGTACCATCTGGCCTTATTTTCAATCTTTCAAAGCTTAGGGCTATTGCCCTCGCTTAGTGCCTATTAGTTGTCATCTATACTGATTAATACTTTTAGTTAAAACTGATTAGAAAGTTGTTTTAGAAGTCGTTCAGCTTACAGCTGTCGTTATGTGCACACGTGTCCATTATGCTGATGCCCACCGCTCACTATATATGATGTACTCTGCTATTGATCTAAATAAGATGACTTGATAATTCATTTTCTATCTCTGAACCATATCCTTTAATATGGTATCAGAGCCTCGCCACACTGGCGGAGCTCAGATCACCGATTAAAGACATACAGACATTGGCCGCGATCAGTCTCCTCTCAAGGATTGACAAATCGCACAACAATGTCCACTCCTGCTGCTTCCTCTGTAAACGATCTTGGTCTGAATGCTCGGAACTTTACAAATAAGAAGATCAATGTGAAGTTAGATGACAGCAACTATCTGATCTGGAAACAACAGGTGTTTTTTATGGTCAAGCAGCACCGATTATTCTCTTATCTGGATGGATCGGTCAAAATTCCACCGAAAAATGTTCGCACTGACTTAAATGAAGAGATCATCAATCCTGAATTTGAGACGTACGAACAGCTAGACTCGGCTCTCGCTTCGTGGCTCCTTGCATCGGTTACTTCTTCTGTTCTTCCGGAGCTGGTTGGATTAGAGACCTCTGCACAGATTTGGTCGAAATTGAACCGCCTATACTCTGCCAAATTTGACTCGAAAATTCTTCACTATCGGAATTTACTGACAAATCAACGGAAAGGAGAACTCTCTATGAGAGATTATTTGGCAAATCTGAAATCCATCTGTGATCACTTGGCTTTACTAGGAGAACCGGTGCCTGAGTCTTCTCACATCTCCCACATCCTCAACGGTCTCACTGTTGAGTATGAATCTGTCATCGCCATCATAAATGCCTCCAAGCCAAGATTTGATTTAGACACAGTTTCAACCATGTTGCTGGACTCTGAGGCTCGTCAAAAAGCTTTCCTCACTGCCTCAGTCGCACAAGCGCACTACACTACTGTGTCGGTGCCCTCTCAGTTTTCTGACTATGTTGAAGATGAGTCGATGGCATTCTTTACTCACTCCACACCGAATCCTGTTACTGCTACTGGAATGGGACGAGGACGGCCACCAGTGCCACCGTGGAGACCACACTTCGGTCGAGGAAGAGGTCGAGGTGCTCTGTCACACCATAATTTTCGACCACAATCATGTCAGATTTGCCACAAACTAGGACACACTGCTGACAGGTGCTATTTTCGCTATGAGTCCTCTAATTTCAATTCTGGTAATCCTACACCACGGGCTCATTTTACCGATTTCAGTCACACTGGTTCATATGTTGATCATTCTGGATGGACTGCTCCTTCTAATAATTTCACAATGCCTCCTTCTGTTGCTCCTAATTCTTCTATACCGTATGCTCACTATACCATTGATAATACCTCTTATGGAGTTTTTCCTGGTAATATGATGACTGGTGCAATGTCTAGTCCTGCCACTTCTACTGCTGTCTCTGCAACTCCTCACACAGTAGATTCATCACAAGGAAAAAATTCAATGGCTCATGCATTTCTGGCCTCTCCAGCTACTGTTACAGATGATGCCTGGTACTTAGATTCCGGTGCCACACAACACATTACAAAGTCACCCAATGCACTTCATGAGACTAACGCACCTTCAGGTATGCACAGTAATGTTATTGTGGGAGGTGGTTCTTTTCTGCCTGTATCTCATGTTGGTAAAGCTACTCTTGCTACATCTACTTCTGCTTTACACATGAATAGAGTCCTATGTGTTCCCACAATGCAAAAGAATTTAGTGTCTATTGCTAGAGCTACAAAGGAAAATGGTGTCTCAATTGAATTTTTTCCTGATGCCTGTTTTGTTAAGGACTTGAGGACAAGGAAAATTCTCATGGATGGACCTGAGGATGCTGGCATGTACAAACTTTCAGCTTTTCCTGCGCATAAAAACAAAAATGCTGCTTCTGCTGCTTGTTATCACATTTCTAATTCTAATCTAGTTACCCTGTGGCATTGTCGTTTGGGTCACCCACATTTAGACACAGTTAAGCAAGTCCTTAGAGCATTGCATTTGAGTTGTAACTCAGTTTCTAATTTGTCCTGCTCTGCTTGTAAACTTGGCAAAAGTCACAAACTGCCGTTTGACTCTTCTTCTACTGTATACAATAAACCATTGGAATTAATATCAATGGACATTTGGGGACCTGCACCACTTGTGTCGAATGGTTTCTCTTATTACATAGCCTTTGTTGATGCTTTCAGCAAATTCACCTGGATTTATTTGTTGAAAAATAAGTCTGATGCTCTTAGTACTTTCAAAGAATTTCAACTAATGGTTGAGAACCGCCTTAATACGAAAATTCAACAAGTACAGAGTGATAATGCTAAGGAATTTCTGATTTTTACTCCTTTTCTGAAGAGTAAAGGCATTCAACACCGTTTAACATGCCCATACACGTCTGAGCAAAATGGTCTAGTTGAAAGACGTCACAGGTCCATTGTTGAAACCGGGCTTACTCTCTTAGCAAATGCCTCTCTACCAATATTCTATTGGAGTGATGCTTTTCTATCTGCAGTGTTTCTGTTAAATAGATTGCCGACAGCTACCCTCCAAGGTGCTACTCCCTTTCAAACCCTCTATGGTGTGCTACCAGATTACTCAATTCTACGGGTTTTTGGGTGTGAATGTTTCCCACTGCTACGCCCTTATAACAAGCACAAGCTTGAATTCAGATCTGCTTCATGTATTTTTCTAGGGTATTGTGTGATGCAAAAATGATACAAGTGTTTAGATCGGGCCACAGGAAGACTGTACATTACTCGGCATGTTCAATTCCATGAACACATTTTTCCTGGGAAAGCACAGCTCAATATTCGCACTGCTGTTACCAATAATCCTACTATCAGTTTTCAGCCTCCTACATCACCAGTGTCCCCTACTGTACCATCATCTCCTCCTCCCTCAGATGGCCCACACCCACTGGTCTCACCAAATCCATCACTGTCTATCCCTTCCCCTCCATCCCACACACCCACTCCTTCTCTTCCTTCTTCCAATATACACTCCATGGTCACCAGGAGCAAAGCTGGAATTTTCAAACCAAAAATCTTCACTGTTGCAGAGGATGTTTCAGTTCCCAGGACAATTACTGAAGCCTTAGCAGATCCTAACTGGAAACAAGCGGTCCAGGAAGAATATGATGCTTTGGTCCGTTTCCAAACTTGGGATTTAGTTCCCATGCCCTATGACAGAAAGATTGTTGGTTGTAAATGGCTGTGTAAACTCAAAACCCGTGCTGATGGCTCTATTGCCAAATACAAAGGTCGCCTTGTGGCGAAAGGTTATTCTCAGGAGGCAGGCGCAGACTATCAAGACATTTTCAGTCCAGTGGTTAAGGCCACAACAGTGAGGGTACTGCTCACCTTGGCAGTAACAAAGGGCTGGACTCTGCATCAGATTGACTTCAACAATGCCTTCCTAAATGGTGATTTGTCTGAGGAAGTGTTTATGGAGCAACCACCAGGTTTTGTCCAGTATGATTCCACTGGCAAGCCATTAGTGTGTCGCCTGAAAAAGGCTATCTATGGGCTAAAACAAGCTCCACGTGCCTGGTTTACAAAACTTAGTACTTATCTCTGCTCTCTTGGTTTTACTGCATCAAAGGCTGACACGTGTTTATTCATTAGAGATGATCATTTGGGGCTTGTATACTTACTGGTTTATGTTGATGATTTGATTATTGCCGGTACTAACAAACTTGTTATTCAGCGTCTCATTACAGAAATGAGTAATGCTTTCTCCT